GCCTGAATAGTTAAGGACATAATAGTTAGGAAGACATTGACCCCTGTCAAGTTTAATGGAAATACGGCAAAAAATCGACAAAGGGTCAAGTCTCAGAGTTGCTCGTTATTAGGAGCTGCACTCAGTGATCCTTATGGGTCCCTTCTAGCTTGAGATAGTCTATTATTTCCCCAATCAGAGTTTTTTAGTATTTGCTGAAGAAAGAAAATATATCAATAACAACGTTTCCTTTGCCATCACAGCTCACAAAGGGTTGACTTCAAAATATCCGTTTCAAGGACCACAAAATACACATTTCCTTCTTGAAAAGCTACATTTTGCATGATCAAGCTGACAAAAGCAATGAAGAATGGTTTGATGGATTGTCAGCTTGAATCATCACAGTGGTAAGAAAACACAGCGTGCAGGATCAGAACGGACTTCTTAATTCAGAATATCGTTGTTGCTTCAAAAACAGGTGGCTGAAGTCAGGTAACTGAAAAGGAGGAAAACAAAAACAAAAGATGGGAAAATAATTTTTAGGAGATGAAAAGCAAAGCAATCCAGAGCTTGTTACTAGAAAAGAGAAAGCTCGTGTTTTAAATTTGCACTGAATGGAGGATGGTGATTATCACAGGACCGTTTATTTTTTAATAAAGATATCCATAGAGACTCAGAGAGAGACCCCATAAAGAGACCCATAGGGACCTTGCATCTGCACTGGTCTTCTGCTGTTTTATCTAGACTCATTCCTCTTTCTTCTGCATCCATACTCACCTTCTGCTGTTCCTTCTTCCCTGCATCCTCACTGCTCTTTTCCATCTGCAACAGAGAGGATTGAAAATGACCCCACTGTTTTGTAGCACAGGTTGTCTCTTGTTTATGAGGGTGGATAATGATAGGACAAGGGGGAATGGTTTTAAACTAAGAAAGAAGAGGTTTAGATTGGATATTAGCAGGAAGTTTTTCACCCAGAGGGTGGTGAGGCACTGGCACAGGTTGCCCAAGGAGGCTGTGGATGCCCCATGCCTGCAGGCATTCAAGGCCAGGCTGGATGTGGCTCTGGGCAGCCTGGGCTGCTGGTTGGTGACCCTGCACACAGCAGGGGGTTGGGACTGGATGAGCACTGTGCTCCTTTTCAACACAGGCCATTTTATGATTCTATGATTCTTTTGCCTCGTGTAGTTTGACAATAAAGAAACCATGAGTGATGTCACTGCTTCAAGCTTTATACTGGATATCCAGTACCTTCCCTGTACCTTCATACTGGGTAATCCTTCTGGACCTAATGCATCTCAGGCAGATTGCTTTCAGCTCATCGAAGCATCAGACAGACGTTAAGACAGTAATTGACTTAGGGTGCTTTTCCGAAGGCTTCTCAGCCTTCTTCAAATGTTGAAATGAAAACTGAAACTATGGAAAAGGCCAGCATGAAAGGATGAGGCTTCATGTTGTTTTGTTCATATTGTTTGATAGCAGCATCATTAAAGCATAGGATTAACAAACATTCAAGGCTTCAAGTCAGTATTCTGCTTGGCAGAAGAACAGCAAAACAACATGTTCTCAATCACATCCAAGCTTAATGAGTCCCCCAGTTTCCTCATCTTATGGACTCGGATTAAAAAGTGATCATTATTTATTTGTGATCATTATTTCTGATCGGGTTATCACTATCCAGCTGAGTTGCAATCAAGATTTCTGCACCCATTCTTATCTCAAAGAAAATCTTTAAGCTGCTTTCATTGCACACCTTACCCTAGTGCAGGTTTTACATGGTGTTTTATATGGTAATTCATCTACCCTGAGAGCATGGGCCCATCAGTTAATGGGCTCAGCTGATGCCATGACATGTACTGAGCTTTTGTAAGAGGATTACTTTGATGTTCTCATGGAAGAGAGTGCAATCCAATTCTTGATGTTATCTTACGGGAATGGATATTTTTAAACAGCAATCCTCATCATAAAGAATCCTCACGTTATAGTAAGGTGGCTCCAAACTTCTGATATGGGATGAGAATTTTGCTCTTTCATTCCAAAGGATGAGATTCACCTCTTCTGAAGGGATAATTTGTATGCCTCGTTGTAAATCTCTGTTTACACTGTCTAGCCTCTGGCTCTTGCTTCAGGCGATCACAGCTCTCAGAGGTAGATGGTCAACACCAAGCTCTGTTTGTATTTAACAGGAGAAATGCAGATGCACAGGATGAGTTATCAGACCTGCATTAAATATATTTCTTACTACAAGATCAATCACCCTGTAAAGATATTTCTTTGTCTCCATCAGTAAACAAACTGATCTTCACATTTATCTTTGGGACATGCCAGCCAGGGGAGGTGAATTCCACAGCCTCCTGTCTAACCTGGATGGAAAAACAAAGAAATCCAACAGGCAATAATTTCCCATTAGCGATGAAATGATCATTTGTAGAATCATAGAATCATTAGGGTTGGAAAAGACCTTTAAGATCACAAAGTCCAACCCATCAGACTTGTGCTCCAAACCCCTCACAGCTATTCTGCCCTTCTCTGGACACACTTGAGGGCCTCAGTGTCTTCTTGTAGTGAGGGGCTCAACACCAAACACAGCACTGAGGTGCAGCCTCACCAGTGCCAGAACAGAGGGATGATCACCTGGTCTTGTGGGCTGTGCTATTGCTGACAGAAGCCAGAATGCTTGCTGGCCTTCTTGGCCACCTGGGCACACTGCTGGCTCAGCTGTCAGCCAAAACCCTCAGAGTATTCCTGGCATCAGTCTCAGTGTCCTAATGCACTCTGTACCAAAATCTTATGCACTTGCCGATTGTTGTAAAAGATGATGACATTCAGTTCATCACTTATTCCTATGCATGTCCTTGAGCCACACACTGAACTTAACTTGCAAGGGAGATGAAGAGAAAAAATAGCACTCTGTTATTTTACCATAACCCTCTTGCTCTAGTGGCTGGTTATGAATCATTTCATGCTCCAAAACAACATAAATCCCTAATACCTCAGTACAGCACTTCATCAGAAAGTTAAACAGAGTCCAGCTCATGATTGCCATGGAGCAACAACCACTTTTGTCCTTAGTAATTTAGAAGAAGTGGATCTTTGAGGGGTACAACAACCCCTACTCCTTCCCACAGGGCTAAGCCAACTGCTGGGATAGCAGCAGGCTTCTTGACTTTCAAGGGCATTGACCCATCTTTCCGTGCTTTACTTGAAAGCTGACAATCTCAGCATTTATCAGTCCCTAGGAAATGTGGTGCTAGTTTTCTTGAGTGCTAGGAGAGGATTTCTCAGCTCAGCTGAAATGCAGAATGCTTTTAGGAAAACAATGGATCCCGATTTAAAAGCCGGTAGAGAAAAAGCACACACCCCACTCCTTTCAATAAATTGCTTCCCTGCTTTCTGTCACTGTTCAAATGCATGCTTATGCCTGGCTTGTCTTTGCACCACTGCTGGAGGGGTGTTTTTTTGTCTGCCAGCATGAGGAGGGCTGTGCCACCCATTGTTTGCAGTGTGGTTTGGCACTCCGGTCAGGTGCATGGGGAAACAGCCCTGAAAATCAGTGCAGACCCTTCCATATGCCTTCCCAATGTGCTCACATTACCCACTGCAAGCTGCCAAAGTTGTGCCAGTAACACCTTACGGGTGCCTTGCTCTCCTGTGAGATGTGCCAAAGCTGTCTTGCTCTCAGCTTGCTGCTCGCCCTTGTGGAAGACCAGGGATAAAAGCATCTTGATTGCTTCCCTAATTGCAGGTTATTGCAATGGCATGTTGTTCTTGGCAATTCACTGGAGCACCAGGCGTCTCACCCTGTAGTGATGTTTAGTGATGTCACCCTGAATGTGATTCCAGTACAGAGTCTGCACAGCAAACTGCTTAAACTGCAAAAATGGATCGTGGACCTGCTTCACTTTGCGTGGTAACTTCATACCAATCTCAACTAAAGCACTAAGAATGGTGCTTTTCTTTTTTCCTTTTCTCTTCTGCTATATGAAGACATTGTGCAGACGTTGTTCCTGGTTAAAATGATCCTCTGCTTAGGAGAGGCTGGATTGGCACAGGGCAAACTTCTAGGATAGCAGTTGACACCAAAGAAATGGTGTACATGATGGTGTTGTGCAGAGTCTGCACAAGGATTTTACTCCTGGTGAATGAGAAAATCTCACACTTGGCACCAAACATTACCAATTATTTTTGGCTTTTCCTTGAATTAGTCCCAAAAGTCTGATCCTTTGCTTGTGACAGAAATAGAAAGCCAGAACAGGTGACTAGACTGATGAAATATGTAGAAAGTTGGATGCCTGCTATTTTCTCATAGAGTTGATGCAGCATTAGAGGACTCCAGTTAAGGTAAGAGGCAGAGCATGTAAAACTGATCATACAACATCTTTCTACTCACAAGTTTCTGCCCCTCAGCAGAATTTGTTTCTACCAGGCATATAAATAAGTTTAAGCATTCGGATAGCTTGAATGGGTAAACTTACATTGACCTTCCACTTATAAAGGTGCTCAGGAAAGAGCAACTCGAAGATTCATGTTGCCCATGAGGTCTCGTGCTTTTTTACATGGAGCAAAGCTATGGGACAAGTAATTGCATGGTTACTAGTTTCAGAGCCTCATTACATTTTCCCTGAAGTTCTGCTTTGTTGTTTTCAGATGTTATACATGGAATCAGTTATTTGATCAAGCTAACGAAGTCCTAGTCTAGGCAACAAAGCTATTTCATTTTAATGAATTGCCTGAAACATGGTAAGATTTGCAGATGGAAATCCTGAAGTAATGTATAGATCTGAGAATGAAAAATGTATCTTCCTAGATATATTCTTTCTTTTATCTTTACTATAATTCAGCTGAAGAGTATGAGTTCTTTATTTTCAGATAACCAAATTGCTTCAAACTGTGTGCAACTCTTTCCTCAGATGGATACTTCCACTGATGTAAATGATTCCAGGTTCTCACTTATAGAAACCAGTGCTAAGCAGAGATCTGCTCATCTAAGATGAATGCTCTTGCTTCTCTTTCTCCTTTCCTAGTTATTACCCTATGCTGTATCTTCAAGTGCCGGATTCCCCGGACAAGGAAAGAGATTGAGGCACGATATGCTCAACGACAAGCAGCCAAGACATATGCAGACAAACTGGAGACTGTGCCACCACTCAATGAGCTGACAGAGATCCCTGGAGGTAATAAGCATGCTCTCAACTACACATAAGACCTGTCTCTTTTTTTGGGGTTGTTTTCTATATGCATGAATGGAAAGGGTTAGGTCATCCCTATATATAAGTCAGTGTGGCTTCTTGAGCATAGCCATGAAGATATTGCCATGATTGGTAAGTCCCTTCTGTTCACATGCACTATTCTAAACCTGTAGCATATGTGGCAGCAGATACAGTCATTCAGATGAAGGGGACAGTTTCTCCAATAGAATAAGTCAAGGTTAATCCTTTGCACTTCATGTTTAAAAATTCCAAAGAATCCATTCCCTTTTAAGGGACAATTTCTGGGTTGGAGGTATGTGTCAGTAGGAAGAAAAAACTAAAATTCACACTGCCCAGAAACTGTTTGCCCTATTTGGATGGCCAACAGTATTTCTGTCACTGGTCTCTGCTTCTCTCACTCTCCTTTCCTGATTCTGTACCCTAGGCTCTACTGAAACTCTCCCAACTCTCTCTGGTCATGTCCAGTCCAGACCTCTCAACTCCCTGCCTGTGCTGAAAGAAGAAGATGAAATGGCCCTACAAGGAAATTAGGGGACTGCCTTCCTGTCTGTCTCTGTCTATGGCTTCTCTTTTCCATGGCTTCCTATGAGAATGCACCAAGTCTTGGACTCTCTGCTTCTCAGTTCCCTTTCTGCATTTCACCTCTGTTTTCACAGTAACTTTTAATGAAAATCTTTATTTTTTTGTTCTGTTTGCTGTGTCTCTGCAAGCATTGTGGTCTGTAGCTGTGTAGAAACCTTTAGTTTCTTTAGCTCACAGCATTATGTTTCAATTCATGAAAATGATGAAAGAGGTAGAAAACATAATTGTGTGAATTTAGTCCTACACCAGCAAAACATAGAAACGTGCTTAATAGTAAGCACTTACACATACCTCAGTGTTCAGTCACCTGACTATGCCAACACCATAAACTGAAGATGGCCAGACTGTTGTCTTGAACTGATCACAGTTGGCATAAATAAACCCTTGCCTATGCTGTTAAATTAAGGTACTTCCAAATCAAAGGCCACCCCAAGGTCTACTTAACACTCATATATATATAAGAAATCACATATGGAATTACTTAATATTGCATCCTTTGACTTCCTGGCCAAAATACCAAATTCTGATTCTGTCCTAAGATTCCACAGAATATGAAGGCTAATGCATATAGACAGCAGAGAGCCAAACTCATTCATCTGCTACATCCTCTTTCTGCCTAGCTGTTAATTCTAGAAAACCTATAAATTTAGAGTTGAAATATCCCAAAGAGACAGAGAGGGCTTTTGGACAGCAGAATGACAGTTTCACCACATACTTTTGGATCTCCTATAAGCAGCACTCTCAACACACCAATGTGTGGTGTATATTTAGTTTGACCAGAGTAAACTACTGTATCATGAATAAATCACCATAAGAAAGCAATTTATTAGAAGTTACCTGCACCATACAGCCTTTATCCCATGAAATGTATGAATAGTTGACCACACTTTGACTTAGTGAGAATCTCAGAGCTATGGTCTATCCCAGCATAGTGCAGGGTAGGAATCAAGTGGATAACGTGTTGATGAGAGGCTGCTGAGGTCCAGTTATAGCTCCTAAATACATGTGCTCTGAGCCTTTTGGTCCTCTGTGGGCAGATACAAATATGCCCTGAAGGAGCTGGGACTGAGAAGGGCTCCATCCATCCACAGTTATGTTATACACATCTGTGGAGAAGTCTTCATCAATTTGAGACATTATTCCTTCAGAGAATGGTGAAGAACTGGAACAGGTTGCCCAGAGAAACTGTGGATGTCCCTTTGGAGGCATTCATATCCAGGTTGGATGGGGCCCTGGGCAGCCTGATCTGGTGGGTGGCATCCAGCCCATAGCAAGGATTGGAACTGGGTGATCTTTAAGTTCTCTTCCAGCCCAAACCATTCTATGGTTCACAGTGAAAACAAAAAGGATTTGATTCCTTTCACAGTAAAGGAGGGTGCTAAACTGAAATAGGTAAATTGTGCCTTAAACATGCCTGTATGTTTTCAGTCTTGGAGACCCAAATGGACTGACTCATCTGTCGATGCTGAAATGATGTAGACACAAAAGCCACGTGTGATCAAACCCACAAGTCAGGCCTCCTTCTGAGATCAGTGTGAATCATGACCTCAGAAGGTTTTCATTTTGTGATTTAGGCATTACAATGCAACGTACGCAAACCTTCAGGCTTCATCTCTGTGCTACTGTTATTTTTATTCCTGTCTGTACAGAGTGCTATGGACTCCCATGTTGCTCCATTGGCATTTGGCAGCCCACCTTGATTTATGTAGTCATGAAATATAATGTATGTGTTCACTGACTATATATATACTTTCACTGTGACAGTTCCCTGTAGACCCAGACGAGGCCAAAGAGACAACCTGAATGATTTTAATTACTGAATGGCCTTTAAATGCTGTAAAGCTTTCTGTAATTGTCAAATGCTATTAATCATGAATATATTACAATGCTTAAATACTCTCATTTCTTGGCATCATTTGACTCTTTGATGGATTCTTGCAGCTGCCAAATTTCTCTCCGTGCACTTTTCTGAGTGTTGTATGTGGCAAGCCCTTTATATGGACATAAAACAGACTTTAGGTTTCAGTGCATAAAATGTTAGAAACAGTTTATTTTGCCTTGTCTCACAGTCTGTGGCAGGAGTACAAGCAGAGCTGAGCTGTTGCTGTCAGTTGAGATGCACAATCTGGGTCCATGACTTGGGAAATCTTCAAGTTTCCTGGCTCAGAGCAGCTAAGCTGACTTTTTGGGGAGTTTATCTGGTTCCTAACACATTTCTCCGGGAAGCAAGCAGTGTTGATTTTGTTGGATTTAGTTGGTTGGTTGGTCAGTTTTGTGGTTTTCATGTATGTTTGTTTATTGTTGTTTTCTTTTCTCCTTTTTTTCATACGAGATGTCTGGATTTCCTCCTTGGTTGTAAGAAAAAGTCTGCACTGTTTCACTTCCATCTGTATGTACAAATCAATTACCAATTTCCAAGGTCAAAGGATAACATTTTATATCAGTGTGCAATCAGAAAAAATACTTTTGGTAAACATTATAAATGCAGGTTTTATTTCTCCTTATTTTACACTGCTGTCACCTGGAAATGACTCTGCAGATATCCATAGCAGGGAAGGCTGGGGCTGCTTGGCTCCACGTAAGGATTGAGACATCTCACCAAAGGTTCACTCTTCACCAAATTGCCTCCTGATCCAGTTCACTGCCACCTTTCCTTGGCATCTTATCCAAAGTGTCAGCTGAAGAAAGCTGACCAGGTTGACCAGTAATCCTCCTGGTCATGGCCAGGTCATTCTGACATCTTGGCTAAGCTGGATAATTGTGTTGTAATATAAATATAAATAAATAAAAATAATAAATAAATAAATAAATAAATAAATATAAATATAAAACCATGTAATAAACATGGTTGTTTATTTATACACCTGAGTCCTACAATGGAGCTTTTCAGGAAAGGAGATAATGGGAAACTTAACACATTTTTGCCTGTTTTTTTTTAATTTTTAACTGTATACCTTGCTGGTCATGAGCAAAGGAAAAATTGATCTGTGTTTGAGCATTGTATTGCAGCTTGAAAGGGGAATTCAGTGCATCAAGTTCTGAGCTCAGAAATACTTTTGAGAAAATAAAACACTTCTATTAGAAGTAAAAAGAAATTAGTCTATATTCTTTGGCAGGATGGTTTGTCTGCAGACCCAGTGTTACATATGAGTCGTCTTCTGTGGGTACTGAATCCAAGGTATTCCTAAGTAAAGACATTCCATAAGTAAAGGTATTATCAGCATACTACAACTACTATGGATGGTGTGTTAAAACACACCAAAACAGCTCTGTACAAAAGCTAGTTGTTATGTTCCCATAGTACGTTTTTACCATTAATTGCAGTGGTGCAGTTAGGCAACCAGTCCCATGGTGCAAATCTGGACGGGCCATAAGAAGATCCTACTTTGTAGCCCTGTGCTGTGTCTTGTCTTCTGTTTGACTGTTTCTGAGAGCAGAGAACCCCAGCAGTGTCCACTGCCCATTCTCAGCTACAGGATTCACACCCTATGCAGAAATCCAACCAACAAAGCAAAGCAAAAATACAATCAAACAAGCAAAACAAAATGAAACAAAATAATGATAATAAAAAAAGCAAAAAGCAAAATCCCAACCCATCAAAGCAACAAAAAGAAATGAAAAACAGAGTTGTACTTCATTACATCAGAGAGGTTTGTGTTCCTTTGCCTGGAAGGAGACTGCTCTGCATTGAATGCTTTTATTGGGAAATGCTTATGGGCTGTCCTTCTGAAGTGCAGGGACCAGATCTGACCAGTTATTTCTTCCAACAAAGCCACAACTCTGCTCTTGAAATTATCAGTTCTTCTTTACCCTACTAGTCTATCTGCTCAAAACAAAGGCATGAAAAGCTGCTAGCCAGTGAGGGAAACAATTGTAGGGACAAAGCAGCAGTGTTTTTCTTTTGTCCAGGATTTGCAAGTGGGGTGCAAAAGTTTTACCTTTTTCACATCTGCTATCACTCCAATTTAACTGCCTTTTTATTTTCTTTTTCCATCCTCACATACAGCTCAGGTAGCAGAAGAAAAAAAGGAAGAAGTTCCTACTGTCTCTGGAAAAGTGGACAAGGCTCAGGGTAAGAAAGATGCATCCAAGAAGAAGGATGGTGAGAAGGACCAGAAAGACGGATCCAAGAAAGAAGGGAAGGATGCCAAGAAAAAAGATGGAGAAAAAGGAGAAAAAGGAGAAAAAGGAGAAAAAGGAGAAAAAGGAGAAAAAGGAGAAAAGGGAGAAAAGGGAGCAAAAGGCAATAATGACAAGAAACAAGGTGGTGGAAAGAAAGGTGAAAAAGAAGGTGAAGCAGCAAAATCAGAAGGAGGTTCCAAAGCTAATGGCAAAGCTGGTGGGAATGCCAAAGCTCCAGCAAAGAAGAAGTGACCCTGGGGCAATGTCCCAAGGGTCCCAATGGGCAATGCTGTATTTTTGTGGATGGAGCACTGGGAGCAGATAGCATCTGCTGTTCCAGGTACTCAGGGTGTCGAGTGCCAGTAGATGTACAGATTGATTGTATTTTGAAGACCAACTCGCTATTTTTTTGTTCTCCAAAGGAAAATCTGACAATTTGGCTGGACAGTGGCCTGCAAAAAATATGTATTACGTGTGTATTACGTGATAATAACTGGGACTAAACTACAGCCTGCACTGAGAACCTGGTGTGTGGATAAGCATGGAAACAGAGATGTGTATTCGTTAAATTAATACAGGACATTGGCAATTTGTAAAGATTTGTTCTTCATGAAGGCTTAGAGGCTTTTAATGGACATAACTAACACTCACTGCATGGAGTTTGTACATTTTAGGCATTAATTAAATTCTCAATGCTAAAACCCAAAGAATGCAGTTTTGTATGTAAGTCATAGCTCATGTGGTTCCTGAGAGTTGACTTGGACACATGGGAGAAAGATTTCCTTCCTTCACTGATGCCTCTTTCTCTGAACCAGAAGGAAGTACTTCCTTAGTCACAAAACTGCTTATTTCCCGGAAGATGCATCCTCCTTTTTCTCTTTCCTGATGAAAGGCACATCAATCAAGCTGCAGGAAGATGTGCAAAGAATAAAAAGGCAGACTGCATCAGTAGTGTGTGAGTAGGAGCTGCCCCCTCAATTTGCTATCTCTTCCAAGGAGGCTGCAGATGTCGATAGCCCTCTGAGATAAAGGAGATGTGAAAGCCCAGCACGTTGCAGCAGAACTCAGGATCTCCAGGGTGTACTCATATCTTCTCTCTTCCTGAGCAAATTTGAAGCCAGGGATTTTGCTACACTTCCACGTTTCTCTCACCTCCTGGAGAATCTTCTGGAGTTCTTGTAACTGCAGTAGATTTTCTCCTTGTGTGTTCTGTGAATTTCTCAACAATTTATGCCTCAAGATGAACAGCCATGATAGCATGGAGTATTCAGGTTCACAACTACAAAGCATTCACATTAATGACAGTTTGCAAGCTGTTTTGATGACTAAATCTCTCCCCACTGTCTCTGCTGGGCGCATACAAACCAGTGAAGTTTTGTCTGCACTGTAGGGCAAGAAGGGAGCCATCTCTATAATCCCTGTGGGTCCCTTCCAACTTGGGACATTCTATGATTCTATGATCTCTATAGGTTGTAAGTCTCAAGCCCCAGTGTAGAATTAGATCCAGCTGTCATCAGAGCAAGAAGGCCCACCTCCCTGTTCTGTAGCTCTGAGAAGGATCAGCTCAGGATCACCCGGTTGGGTACATCACCTTGTCTCCTATTTGTCACTTACAGTGTGTGGGCAGAATGAAGAGAACACATTACAGTGAGTTGCAGACAGTCAGGAAAACATCTCACCTAACGAAACTTGTCATAATACATGAAGTAAGCGTGGAAGGAACTAAATGTATAGGTATGGCCCAAAAATGATGTGTGTTTTCTCCAAGCTTGTATTTAAGTGGCCAGTACATTACACATCACAGTGAGTGTAAAATAACATTGCTGGAGTGGAGCACGTTGACCAGAACGAGTGAGATGACAACTACTTTTCACACCACCAGATGGAGAAGTTGCACTGGAAAGAACTACATTCACAGCTTCTGAAGCTTTGCAAGGTGATTCATTAATGACAAAATTGGAGACACGCTAATTTCTCTGGAAACGTAAGTGTGACAGCAAATCCAAAAGCAGGATTTAAGACTCGAGGCTCAGGAACCCAGGTCTTAATGATCACATCTCCGCTTTCATTATGTGGTGTGTGCATGACAGGGGTGGAATGAAGAATCAGAGATACCCTGCAGTTAGGGTGACTTGCAGGATCTCCTGCTCTCCACTAGAGGGGACTTTGTTCTTCCTCTGAAATATCTGAGACAGCTTTACAGGCAGTTTGTGCTGGATGGATTTTGTCTTATTCGAGGTGTTAAACTGAGCCTGGCTTTTGTTACCACTCTTCTTTGATCTAAAGAAGACTTTCACAACATCACTTTCTCTACCTGAGTCATGTTCTTCTTCCAATATTATTCTTCCTTTTGCTAATGGAGGTGACAGTTTGCTTAAAATCCCACCAATGATACAAAAGTTATCAGGAAAGCAATTATTGCCTTCAGGGGATGAAGGTTGAGCTGGACTGTCCACGGAAGACTGCAGTAAGATCATGAGTTTGGATGAGGAATTCAACAGGAGGGGGCTGGGAAACTGGAGTTCTGAATTCCACCCTGGTTTATTTTGGAAAAAAAAAAAAAGAAAGAAAGCCCATGGATAAACTGCAGGCATTGTTGTTGTTTTTTTCCCTCAATTTCCACCATTGTTTTCTCTTTTGATGTTACTGATGAAAAGCAATGTGAAAAATGAGCATAGAGGAGATTGTACAACCACAGTACATCTACTACTAGCCAGTTGCATGATACTCTTTCAACACATAGCTTTCTTTGGAGGATGGAACACCCTGGAGTTATTAAAGCAGCCCCAGAGACTCTCAAAGAAAAATAAATTCTTTTTATTCTCTTTCTGTGTACTTTCTTACACTATGTGACTCTGAACCAACTCTGATTGGTTTCATAAAGCAGGTTTAAGTATTAGCAGTGTCTTGGTTCTGCACTCTTTGTGCCCATCTCCCTTTTGAGATGGATCAAGGAAGAAATCTGGATCACCAATGCCATCCTGATCACTTCATGAGAACAAATGAGTGCCAGGGAAGCCTGGCACTGGAGATTCCTCCTTCCACCAGGTGATGAGTCCCAAATCGAACGCAAAGTTCTTTCTCCTTCCAGTGGCCAAAATGAATAAACAAGTGAACAAATGGATCAACCCCCAGATACTTCCAGGACTGAAGATGGAACATTTCACCCGTTGGTCATGGTTGATCTTTATGTTACGGGGATGATTGGCCTTTTTATGTTTGTTTGTTTGTTTGTTTGTTTTTTGTAGGCTAAAAGAAAAAAACAAAAGTCATTTTCAGAAATAAAGAGTTTCCCAAAGCTCTTCTTTCTATATTTCCATTTCCTTTTATTTTGGAGGGTCAGGACTTTTGGCACTTTGAGCATATACCTGCATACTCAGTAAAGAAGCACCCTCTTGAAGCAGAACTCCATACCCACTAAGGCATCATACAAAAATGAGGAGAACACAAACTCTCTACTAAGTCTAATTTCACATGGCACTTCGTTTCTCACTCCTCTCATTTCTATACAAAAAGCCAAAACATTTTTATGGTCCTAATCTTTTCTGGCTGAAGAAAATACATCTTCTTTTGCTGATGTACTAAGCCTCTCATGCAAACTGAGAAGGGTCAAGCAGGGAAACTGGAGCACAAAGGACAGTCTGCTTAATGTCACAAGCAAAATCTGGGACAAGGATAGGACTTGACCACTGATCTTGTGAAACAGGGTTTTGTGCATATTTCATTCTTAAGACTCTCCAGGGACTTGATCTATCATAATAGTGGTAAAGTATCCATGAACTTTGCTGTCTTCTCTTACCATAAAACTGCATATGAAAACAAAATTATTAGCAGGGTGTTCATGGGATACAATAGAATTGCTCCCATTTAAGCCACAATAGAAATGCATGTTCACTTTCAAAATCTGCTGTTGAGAAACTGAAGAGGTGATACACTGCCCTGGAGGAAGTAATTTTGCTTTAAAGAGTGGGGAAAATGGGGAAAAAAAGAGAATTTTGTAATTTAATTTTTGTAATTTTTGTAATTCAGCTTTCTTTAGATGGGCTTAAGTCTGTGATTTTTTAGAAGAGACAGTCTTCTTTTACAAGGAAACCAGAGGAGTCCTCCAGAAAAGCATCACTGTGTGCTTGACCTGTTCTTTTTGCCTTTCCTGTGTGGTTCTGTGCTGTCACTCAGAACAAGGGATGCCAGGAACCTTTGACTAACCTGACACTGGAACACTGCTGGATTTTGGTGGCCTTTGCACAGACAACCTATCTTATGATCCTCTGTAACACATTCCTATGTTCTCCTGTAACATTTCCTACATTTCCTCTGTAATATATCCTACTTGTTGCCTGGGGTCTGAAAGGGTATATAATAGCAGGACAAGAGGAAATGGCTTAAAGGTGAAAGAGGGAAGATTTAGGTTGGATAACAGAGGAAAATTCTTTACTATGAGAGTGGTGAGATGCTGGAACAGGCTGCCCAAAGAGGCTGTGGATGCTCCATCCATCCCTGGAGGTGTTCAAAGCCGGGTTGGATGGGGCCCTGGGCAGCCTGGTCTAGTATTAGATGAGGAGATTGGTGGCCCTGCCTGTGGTGGGGGGTGGGGGGGGTTGGAGCTTGATGATCCTTGAAGTCCCTTCCAACCCAAGACATTCTATGAAAAAGTATTTCTCCCTCTTAAAGACCTTGCCATCCCCTTGCATGCAAAATCCTACCTGTAGCTGATCAAGTGAGCTCTGAACTGTCTGTCCCTCAGCATAAGGAGGGATGGATTTGAAGCAGACCTTCTGAAAGCAGAAAGCTGTCTCTGCTTTGCAGTAATGGTCTACCCTTTGCCATTTGTCCCTGCTACAGAATGAAGTGCTGTTTTCCCTCCGTCACAGCCTCAATCTCCTTGGTTCCAGGCACATCTCTTTCCTTGCTCAAAGATAGAAAGAAGCTGGTGGGGGGCTTTCTTCATAGGCAGTGCATTCAGAATACCCATTTAATGAGTTTATTTTACAGGCCTTCAAATATTCCCTGGCTCCATGCTATCACGCAGTGGTATATCTTACTGATGCCAATGCTTCCATATGGGGATTATGATTTTTTAAAATTCATTTTAAACATCCCTGGAGACTTTATTAAGACTTCCTGTAAGACGACAGGGAGTCTAATACAGAGGGAAAGTAACAGGAACTTCGATTTTCACCAGAACAGGGGTTTGATTTTATAAATGAAACACACTCCTCTATCCCCCACCCTGTCCCCATTCCATTTCCCCT